CATTGTCATGGTTCTGGGGCAGCCCACCCTCTTTCTTTTCTGGATTATTCTGAAGCCTTCCATTTGTCTTTCATTGTCAACAATTGACTGCCTGTGGTGAATTTGCTATGACTCAAATGTATCCTCCACTTTCCTATCTGTGCACTTGTATGGTTCTCTTCTACACTGGCTGTGCAACTGGTCTGGAAAAAGTCTTTGGCAAATGAGAAGTAAAGGTATAGCAAACTCTGGAACCTCAGGGCTTGCACTGTTGAAATGGGGCAACTGCCATAAAACAAAACAAAACAAAAACAACAACTCTTCCTTGCCTCCTAGAAGAAGAAAACCAACATGGCAAGAGGGTCAGCCTCCTCATGGAACTCATCCCTCACCCTCAACCACCAGCAGGACAGAACTGTGTAAGTAAAGGCAAAACCAGCAAAAGACACACCTAGGGAGAACAGCAACATGTGAGAATCAGAATCATGAACCAGGCCTGTTTCAAGCCAATGAGTTATGATGCAGTTTGCTATCTAGGGGTAATAACTGATATACTCCCCCTAGTGACGAGTTGCAACGTAGCAGCAGTGGGCCTTTTTCTAATGACAACCGGATACTCTCATCCCTCTGCTGCAGACAGACAAGAATTCCTCGTGCCCCAAGTCTTTAGAATGTTTCAAAGACATGCTCATGTGTTACCAGGTCTATAGCCTCCTCATCTGTCCTTTATTCTCTTCTATGTAGCTGCACAAGCTCCTAGGAGTATATCTCCCTGACTATGGACCACTCTTGCAAGCTACTAACGTATTCCCCTCAATGCCATTTTCACAGCGAGGCTAACCCAATCAGCCAGTTAAAAACTGCATCATGCCTCACTCCCACATCACAGCTTCTCTGTATACCACCCCCTACACTTGATATTTCTAAATCATTGTATAGTTAACTAATTTTAGTCCATGTCTGGCTGCTTTTATCAGAATGCATACCCCAAGATGGTTTCCTGCTGGACACTCATACCTAGAACCTTGGCTAGTAGAATATCAGAATGATATATACTTGCCAGGTATTTGGTGAATTACAAAACAAGGTCTTTGAGGTTAAGATGCCCACAGCTACATACTGGGAGTCTTCATTCAATGATGAGTAGAGAGTGTATAGATTCCGGAAGGGTAGCCAGCTAATGTGACTTACAGAGACACGCCTTGGCAGAACTCAGACATAACCTTGAGGGCAAGGATACAGAAGGTCAAAATATTTTTTTGGGATGTAGTTATCAGCAGGTGATAAGAAGAACCCTATGGGACTTGGTATCAAGGCAGCCTTGTGGGAGAGACTATGGAGCAACCCAAGGGACACAAAGATAAAGGTGCTTCCAAGGGGTAAGTTGGATCTCTTTTAGAAGGCACAGTTGGTGATGTGTTTACAAGCCGTCCCCCACCCCCAAGAAATGCCCCCAAATACAAAATATATCTGAGGCTTGGCCTTTTTGTGCTCTTATCAGGGCTGAGAATATAAACCAAGCCAGCACTTACAGCCCTATGACAAGCCACAGTTTTCTGGCATTTATGCTCAACATATATGAATGCTAGATGGTTCATCACCATTTTCTTTAAAAGTGGACTCCTGGTTGATTTGACTAACCACAAAGCCGGGGAAGCACAGGTGATAGACTTCTACTTGAATACCTTACTTTGTGTGCTCATCATAAGAGAAATGCATTGAACAAATACAAGGTTCAGCCTGGCTGGGCCATCTACAGCATTCAGCACAGGTGTGCATGCAATAATTTCCCTTAGCACAGAACAGATGAGACCTCTGATGACTTAACTCTACCCCACAGCCCCAATCTTGGTACAAATCTCCTTAGAGATGACCTGTCTTCTTTCTGACCTATACTTCATTTTTTTTCTGATACTCAGCAATTATTTATTATCCAGGACCATATTTGTACTGTTTATAGCAACCATGCCAACTATTGCTATGAGGAGAAAATGCCTCTTAGGTCAACTAGATTCTTCTGTGTATGGAATAAAGGACGTTAGTTTCTTAGAGCTCTTAATATACTGCTCTCTATGTTCAATTTTCCTAAAAATGGAAATTGCCAGGAAGCAAAGAATGTGGGAGATGTATGGTTGGACGCCGCTGCAGCCTGGCTCCCTGGCTGATGGATGGTGCCCTCTGAATGACTGGGAGCACTGGCTAGCTCACTATCATAGCTCACTGTTTCAGAGAGTGGAAAAGAGGCAGCCCGGTCCAAGAGTACATCTCCGCCTGCTCCTTGGCACTTCAGTTGCTTCAGTTAGTCATTGTGGCCTTTCGTAAAAACCCAAACACCACCAGGCACAGCTCTGACTTCAGCCTAAGCCAAAGGATGACGCTGAAACCTGAAGCTGGGATTCAGATTTGGGTAATGGTTCCAATGCATATATTTTAGCATTTGATCCCACTTAACATACAATATTTACTTCAGGATGTGTGGTGGGGGAAATGTCATTTAAAAAAAAAATCTTTTAGCTTAATTACCAAAGATGTAAATGTGGTCTCACTTGCAGAATAAAGCTTCTCTTAACAATGAGGTGTAAATTGGTGTCTGCCTAATCTGTTCACAGTAGGAACAGAACCTAACACTCGCCTCCTCGCCCTGGATTTTGCAATAGTACCTGGGAAATTAATGTGTCCTTGGAAGTTCCCGCAGCATTTCTGATTTGTTAAGAGAAAGAGAAAGCTAGGCGGTTCACGCTGTATCCCTCTACCTGCCACAAGGACATTTGTTTCGAATTTTTAGCATCCATGTTGAGCTGTGGACTGAGGCTACTGTGTTTGACCTCAGTCCCAGGCATTGGACGTTCACCCTTCTTCAGATTGTCCTCTGTCCCATCTTTTGTGGCCTCCTGCCTATCCTCAGATGGAGTGAAATGAATAAGGGAACTAGTGTGTTATTTATACAATGACCTTGGGCTCCTGGGGGAATTGAAGGCACTATTCTTTCACTTATGATGTTTTACATTTCAAAGAGCCCAGCTCTCTTTGATATTAAAGAATGAAATGTGCAATGTAATTGTTATTGTTTTATGACCTTTAATAGGTTAATCAGGCTGCATCAGGTTTTCCACTGTGTGACTCGTTCCACAAGACATGATTTGCCTCTCAGTAGATGAATTCTGACAAAGGGCCTCAACATGAATATTTGAAGGAATGGCTATGTACTGGTATCTAAATCCTGAAGAAAAAAAAAAAAACATGATTACTTTGCTTACCTAAATTCTTCCGTGGGTAGTGGAAAGTCTGTCAGCTTTTAGTGCTATTGACATTTTGGGCAAGATCATACTTTGTTGTTGTGCGTGGGGGTGTATCATACTTCCTGAGACATTTAACAACGTGATGGTTATCTATCCATTCGATGCCAAGGGTAGTCCCTTCCCACCCCACCCCACCCCATTCTGCTGAATGACACTTGTCTACACAATGCCATGTCTCAGGAAACAAAATCTACCCCAACTGAGAAACATGAGCCTAATAATAAATGGAGTGGGAGTAGGTGGGACTGGGGTGTACTCTTTTAGCATATACTGTGCCTAGAATCCACTAGCTTAAATGATAATTAATATAAGAGTAGCCAACACTTATCAAGAACTCACCACAATGAGCACTACGCTGACGACTTCCCATGTTACATCTCATTTGGTCCATTTGGTCCTTTTAATAGACACACGTGATAGCAATCATGTCTTGCAACTTACATGTAAAGAAACTGAGGTGGACAGGGATATAAATAATGTACTGAAGCTCACCAAGCTGGAAAAGCAGAGGCACCAAAATGGGTACATGCAGATCTCTACTCTTCCCTTTTTGGTTTGGTCACTGTCTGAGTATGCAAATAAAATGTACTGGGAATTGACTGAGTACTGCTGTGTTCAGGATATGTACATATATGCCAAGCAGATCCCAACAAACTAACAAAATCCCACCCCCTGAAAGAGAGGACAATGTATGTCCTCAAGTCATGTATGTGAAAATAAAAAGTACAATAGTACAATACAGAAATAAATAGGTGGCACTGGACAGATTAGATTCAGAATGTTCAGGACCATCACATCGCAGCCTCACTGGGACCTGGAATCATCAGAGCCTTATTAGTATACAGATCCTGATTCCCAGAGGTGTGGGCCGCATGCAGCCTGGGTTGCTGACTTTCTTGCCAGCCCCTGGGCAAGGCTACTGCTGGCTTGAAGACCTCACTCTAAGCACATTGCCTTTAACACACTGGGAGATGCTGTTTCATGCTTTTGAAAAGTGAGGTTCCACAGTGTGTATCTGGGATGCCAAGAAAGCACCAACACAGAGCAGAAGAGGGGGGATGAAGAGGAGGAGAAGGAGGAGGAGGTGGGGATTGCCTTGGCTGTGAGAGTCACACTTGTCTCTCAGCCCTTCACTTGGAACATCTATGCTGTGCCCACTTGTGTCCACTGCCCACATATTCAGCTAAACATCTGCTATTTTAAAGGACAAATATTAATTTGAAGCACAAAACACCTACCCACCAAACATAACTGGTTTCTGCAAACACATTTTTATGTCCCATTTCTTACTTTTAGAAGACAATGCTTCTTTCTCTTCCATATATCATGCTACATAAAAAAAACTTCCCTTCTTTCCATCCCCATCCTCCACACTTATTGTGACTTGAGAACACAACAGTTGTGCTGCAGCTAACTAAGAGTCAGTATAATAGGGGGAAAATACGTGTGAGAGGCCAAAAGCAAGAGGACTTTTAATCCAACGAATGTCACAATTAAAATGACAGTTATGAGGACTGTAAACTATGTTGTCATTAATTTAGCTGTGCTCAAAAAGACAGAAATTGAGTCATGTAATAAACATTCACAAAGAAATGGTTTGGGAACTGATCTCTACTAATGGTTGTGGCCTCTTTGCCCAGACCACAGTGACCGCTGCAGATCACAAATTGTTTTGTGACATCTGGGTTTGACCATAGGTCATAATGAAGGGGATGCATTTGGAGTCACTTGGCTCTCTGAACACATCCAGCTAATTCTCTGCACACATCGCAAGAGATATAACAGAGGTAAGAGTTGCTGGGATGTAGAGATGGACCATAGTTAATGCAAAGGCTGAGAGGCTGAGATGTGGAACCAACCAATTATTGGTAATATTTTCTACTCAGATCTAAAGTGGGTGGTCTAAAATGGGAAAGGACTCGTGTGTGTGTGTGTGTGTGTGTGTGTGTGTGTGTGTGTGTGTGTGTGTGTCTCAGGGTGCTGGTATCGCCGCCACTCAAACTACACTCAGCTCTGAATATGAATGTGAGTTATGTCTCTATCCTGGGCCCAGTCCTGGGTTATGCTGAGCAACACTCTGCCCCTTTGTTCTCAAGGTTACCTGAGGTAATGTGTTTCCTATTCATGAGCGACTGGTATCACACCTTTATCTGGCATTGTGAAGACTAACCTGCTACTGACTATCTTGATATTTATTTCTATTACTTTATTAAGTTTACTTGATATGCATTATTTTCTTTAATCTCACACCTTTCTTGGCTCCCTCTTAAGCAACAATATCTGTGATATTATAAGCTTAGAGCACTTCTCAGGGCTGAACAAACCAATGGTTACAATATTTAAACAGGCTTATGTGACGCCTGAGAGAGAAAGCCTTCTCCAGGTGTGGAAGAGGCTCCCACCATCCAGCCAAGGCTAGCCCAGGACTTCCTCACTGTCCAACAATGCTAAGTGGTCAGAGTTGGCAGGCTGGAGTCTCTAGGACTCTGCCACTGTATTTTGGACAAAGTCTGTTCCAACTTGCCAGAATCCATTCCTTTACGGTTCTGCTTGCACAAATTACCCAAGTGTTGTGTCTTGAGTTTTTGGAGAAACTTACATGTGGTTAACTTAAAAAGAAAACTAGCTCCTTTGCCCCAAATGCTTGGTAGAGTGGCTATGAACACTGCATCTGCAAGAGAGAAAAAGCTATGCTTTCTCCAGGCTTCAGATTATTCTGGAAAGTGAACACAATGCACAGAATTGCCAGATTAAGTCAGGGTTCTTCAACGCCAACTTCTATTGCCATCCTGTGGGTGACCATCCTGTGTGTTGTTTAGTGTGCATATACACGCAGCCTCACCCTCTATCCACTAGATGCCAGTAGCAACCCCCAAGTCGTGACAACCAAAAATGTCACTAGATATTGCATAATGTTCTCTGGTGAACTGACTCACCCTCTGTTGAGTATAATTGGGCTAAATGAAGGAAAGTCTGCCAGGTGCTCAGGCTAGCCTATGCCATATATTCAGAGTCCAGTAGTAGTCACTGCATTTAATAAGGAATGAATATATGCTAGATATCTACTTAAGAACTTTGAATCTACTATATTATTGAACTTTCACATGATGCTGAGAGTCACAACTTGCTAAGATTCCCATTTTACAGATGAGGAAAATAAATATCTGAAGAGAAATATACTTTCTGAGGATGCATTGTTAATACAAGCAGAGCTAGGATTCTATGGCAAGTCATGTTTTCAGAGCTCATGCTTCTGGGCTTTCTTTCCTAATACCTGCAGAGAAGGGAGTCTCCTCAGAAATGAGTAATAAGGAGGAGAAAGATGAAAAAAAAACTCTATAGCTCAAAATAGGCCACTGTATTTCAAATAAAGAGACCAACAAAGAAATAGTTAACATAACTGACAATAATTCAAATACAGGTTACATAAATAAATTGCAGTTGCCAGTGGTTTGTACATACACACAAACACACATGCACAGACATTTGCATGTATACACAGATGCATGCAGATACACAGGTACCCACACATATATACAATTGTGTACAGAATTCTCATAATGGGTAGAGAGATCATAACATTCCCCAAGCTGGTAAGGGTAAAAGCAACAGCAAAGTTAACATGTCAAAATAAATAGACATGGATGAAGGGGTGGTAGTGAATGCCTAAGGTTCTAGCTATTCAGAAGGTTGAAAAAGGAGTATTGTTTTAGTCTAAGAGTTCATGGCAAGCCTGAAAAATAAAGCAAGTTCCTTATTTATAAAACAAAAATAACAAAATAAACAAACAAACCAAAACAAGAAATGAAAAGTGTATTTTCTGGTCGAGTCCTTAGCTAGTACTGTAATAAGTTAAGGGTATTCTAATGTTGCACAAAGATGCATGCCTGCTTCATTACTGTAGAAAGACAATGTGAAAGGTCAAAGATGGCTACTAATATGGCTGCTAAAGTTGGGGTGATGACCAGTGCAGATTGGTGGTGGTGGTGTGTGTATGTGTGTGTGTAGATGGATGGATGGATAGATAGATAGATAGATAGATAGATAGATAGATAGATAGATAGATAGACAGACAGATAGACAGATAGACTTCTGGTGTCCCCACCTGTGTTGAGCCTTATTGTACCAAGTAATCGTTTCACTGCAGTGCCCTAGGCAGTCAGTATGTACTAGCCATTGGCATGCACTAGCCTCTATTTAGGACTATGAAGATCTCAGACAACTATAGAACCAGAACCCACTGACCTTGACCTTGACTGCCTAGCTTCTGCTAGACAACTGACCTTCCTGTCTGTCTTTCCCTTTCTCAGCTATAAAAAAGAAACAGTCTGTGATATCGGATGTTCTGGTAAACAAGGTGGTGGCTTATATAAGCACACATATATTGTCCTCCTCGACAAACAAAAACACATAGGAATCAAAGTCAAACAACCAGAATAGGCAAATGCAAACACAAGACTGTGACATGGAATATGTATACTTATGCATATTCCTTTATGCATTTATACGAAAGAGAAACAAACACGGGCTACGGATAGCGATTCAGAAAGTTGTTGGTCAAATCTGCCTCCAAAGTTCCAGACTCAAGGCTGATGTCTTATTAAGTTTGTCATTGTCGGACACAGAAAAATGAGAGCTTGTCTACATTTGACTGAAAGTCTTTGCATTTCTACCAGTCTGAACTAGAAACTTGCAATTAAATCAATTAAGCAATGAAAATCAAATATTCCATTAAAATCTAATTTTCCTCATATCTGATTGGTTTTAACTCAGGCAAGCTGGAAGCAGATGAGAGGCAAAACGACTCCAAGTCGGAGACGCGGAGATGGGAGAAAAGAAAACTGTTCAACACGTTCACAGCAAATGGAATCACAGCATTTTCCTCTGCTTCTGCTCGCGTGCATTTAGCCATTAGGGGTTCCCCAAACATCAGCTTTCAGAACTAATGCCGAAGACCGGGAGGAGAAGATCAAGGCTTCTTTCTCCTCTGCCTTCCTTTGGCAATCACGTCCTTGAGGTTGCTTTTACTTCTTACAGAATTTAATAGGCTAGCCCAAGCTCCAATTCAGACAATACCGTGTGTCTGGTGCACTCCAGCACGTCCGAAATTTCCTTGCTAAGATCGACAATCAGTTTGGCACTGGCTACGTTTGCTGATTCAAGGAGTTACAGAGGCCGCATGTGTTCGGGAGGCATTTCTTCTTCTTAAAATGGAGGACCTGCCTCTTGGGGATTAGGGGAAAAAGCATGCCAACTGACTGGATTATCCTTCTCCCCTCTGCTCTTTCAGGTGATGTGAGCTGGCCTGTCTTACACCAGCAATCACCTTGTGGATGGAAGTCGGAGTTTTTGAACATGAAGTAGAAAATGACTCCATATGTTGCTGGAACAGCAAGATTAAAAAGAGAAGACAATAGCTTACAAGAAAGATGCTTGTCCATCATTTGACGGGCATCAGGACGTTGAATGGAGTCTCAATCAGACAAAATATAACAGAACGTGAACATGTGAAGTATCATATGCAAGTGGACAGGAAGAGAATGTAAAAATACTTCAAAGACCAGTGTTTCAAATTTTAAACAGAAAGGTGCAGCTGGTCTGTATTTCTCAGATGGCTTTTCAAAATGCATTTGCTGAAACTATTTTTAAGGCCAAACTGTTGGAATCTTCTTGAGAGCTGTTGGTTATTGTAGCCAGTCCTGAATTAGGCAAAAATACAAAGAGCTACAGAGGCTGTGTGTGGTGTTCCACTAAAAGCAACTGTATATGTATGGGTACATGCCTGTATACATGTAGGTACACGTCTTTGCACATAGATGTGTGTTTATATGCATATGAGCTTGTGTGTATACACATGTGTAGATGGATTCATGTGTGTGCACACAGTTGTATACTCCCATCTGTGCTTGTGCACAAACATCCATGGCTGTGTTCTCAGGAAAGGGGGCACTGTGTGTTCATGTGGTACCATTACTCCCCAGAAATGTGCATTTTTGATCCTGAATATTAAAAAATTTGTAAGAATTTGTTTTGCTTTGCGACTCATACTCCCCCCGCCCCCCACCACCACCCCCCGCCCCCCGCCAGGCATCTGTCTTCCATAAGTAGTTGGAACAGGTTGGATGAGAAGGAGGAGGAGGAAAAAGAAATAGAGGTTCCTTTGAAAGTAAACAAGTCCTCTTCAATACTGCCACCCTCTTAGCCTAACGCACGTTTTTGTGCATATCAGTGGTAGTCAGGAATACAGCGTTTGGAGCCAGACTTCTGGGGTCTGAATCCCAGCCCCTTTATTTAGAAGCTCAATGACTTTGAAAATGTCTCAACTTTACTTTTTTCCTCCATTGCCCCGTTTGTAACACAAAAATGAAACACAAACACAATAAACCCAGTACATGTGATACACAAAACAAGTCACTAAGAATTGTCAACATTTAAGAGCCTTTCCTCCACACCTAAGCATCATAGCTCCATGTGTACTTGCTGACGGCATTGTTACCCCCATAGTAACACTAAACACACAGCCGTCTTTGCTACTTGGATTCTCTCAAATGATTAAAACCTCATCATGAGGCCATGGAACCTAAGCATCTGATCAAGAAACTGTCAGAAAACTGAGGAAAACAGTCATCATTCCTTTTAAAAATACATATGCTCAGATCATCCTGATGCACTCGGCTTGGTCATTATTTTTAATATTTACAGCAGGATACATTCAGCTTTTACACCCCAAAATGGTGACCTTCTTATTGTGAGTTAGCCATGTTTAAAACAGGCCCAGAGCAATGTCGCTTGTACTTCACAATCAAGATAAATGACCATTTACCATCCATAAAAAAAATTGGAGGGTGGTACCATGGGTAGAAGTCGGCAATGGATCCTGCTTTGATGGTAATTCTGCACAAAGAGTTAAATTATTCCAAGGGAAACCATGTGTCCCACTGAATGACCCCTTGGAGCTGCTTCCCATGAGAACTGAGCCTTGTTTGGGGACCTCCTCTCCACATGCCACCCTGATGTCAGGCCTGAAGAGGACCCTGCCACTCCGATAGGAGATCCCCATTCGCACTCTGCTTTCTGGTCCCAGGGAGACACTGGGCCCTGTCCAGCCTGCCCTGCCCACCTGGAGCTCCGAGGGCCTTTCTATCACAATACTGCTTTAGAAAAGTCTGTGTGAAGAGGGAGACTCTGGTATTTAACTCCATCCATCAATGTCAGCCCCTCTTTCCCCTCTACCCCAACAGCTTGGTCCGTTTGCGAAAAGCTGAATAGTCTAAATGGATGGATTTTGTGTTAGTCTCATTAGAAAGGGAAATTAGCCAGGCACCGTTCAGCTGTGCAGAAGGCATGCTGATCCTGAAAACCAGATCCAAGCCCCCCCCCCAATCTTTTCTTCATTACCTATGATGTTCACAAGCCCCTCCATGTTGCTTCAAGTTTCATTATCCCTCACTTTAGCTCAAGGTGCATGCTCAAGGTGCATGTGTACCCATATCCTGTCTCATTACCCAGCCCAGAGCTGGGCACAGAATCAGACCCAATGTGAGCCTCAGTGACTTCTCTATTGCTCTCTACAACATGCTCCTCCATACCTCTTCATACGGTAAGAGTTTGCTTTTGATCACCTGGGGCTATTTGCTGACATAGTCTCCCCAAGTGTTGGTTCGAGCATGCCACTCCAACCCAGTTTCTACCACCCTCCCCACAGCCCTGAGTGCTTGCCCTGTGACCTACTGTCAGCTGGTGATGGGGAATCTCCTGCTTCCTGCTGCCACGATGCTCGCTCAACCCACCTCCCCTCTTACTCCCCACATGTTTATGATGTTCATCCTCTGGTTTTCAGCTCATGACTCACTTCCTCAGAGAAACCATCTCTGGTCACATCCTGTTTGTTTTCTAGAACTGTGCTTTGGTCTTTCAGAACAATTTCCTCAGCTGTGGCGATGCGTTCATAGTTTTGATATGATTAAGGCTGCATTTCTATTCTAGAGCCTGCTTTTGTTCCGTGTCCCAGTCACTCAGTTCTCCCATTCTTAGTGCACTTTACCTCTGCACCTGTTCACTGTGCCTGGCCACTCACAGGTATTTACTAAGTCTTTTGCCAAATGTATGACTTTCAAGCACTATGAAGGGTTAAGCTGCTAATGATCTTCAAGGCTGCAATCCCCCTATTTATCTATCACATTTGGTCTCCGTAAAGATAGTGAAAGAAATTTCAGTCTTACACAGTAAGTATTTATGGCACACTTAGTAAAAAACCAGGCTTTACAGACAAGCTAGGCAGTCTTGCTGGTACGAAGCATCATCCCCCAGTGTTCCTGACTGCCATATAGCCAGATGCTGGCAGGCTTCTGCCCCATGCTAACATCGACACTTTACTTTCAGTGGAGGAACAAGGACCAGAGGGCATCTTTGATTTTAATACTCCTAGCAGCATTCAGTTTGGGCTAACTATGGTAACTTCCTGAGCTGTGCTTTGAAATTCAGAGGCTGAGATTAGAGGGTCCCAAGAATCAAGGTAAAAATCACGAGAGACAACTATAATTCTCAAAATAACACTAAATGATAAGGCACATGATGACAATTGAAACTTCCTGATGAACTCAACAGGAATACCATGTCTCTGTGACTTTGCCTGATATATGTCTAAGAAAAGTTATGCTTATTGTGGGGGGAGGGCTTCAGGACTTTATCCTGCTTTGATTAACAGCACAGCTATTCTAGGCTATTTGGGACAAGTAAGCTGCATTTTTACTGCCTAGCCTAGCACATTTATTTGTGATAGCCTTGCACAGATGATGTCCTAGAGACACTTTCTAGTGCACTTGAGAATTTCGATTAATAAATAATAAACATAAGTGATTTATTGCAGGCGTTATGCTGTTTCTCCCCAGAAACCCTCAACATAGCTGTTTAGTGAATGAATAATTGGGGAGCAATCATCAAGTGGCTGTGGCCTCCTGCATCCTTCTGGTAAGAGCTCTGCTACACTGCACCTCTCCCCCTTCCCTGACTAAGATCCTTCCAGGCCAATCAAACTGGGAAGCCTTCAGAAGCAGCCCCCAGGCATCTCCACTTGTAGTTCCAAATGAAGGCAATCAGGGGATCCTGAAAACTTCAAAGAAATGAACCATATGCCTCCCACGATCAGAAGAAAGTACACATAAAAAAAAAAAAAAAACAGTTTGGGTCAGCCATTGAACCTACCCCAAAATGATGTCAAGTACTCTGTGAAAATAAATAAATGGAGAAAAATATTAAGGAATTTCAAAAGCTGTATATTGTAGATTTATTTGTATATTCAGTATGTACACATTTATATACATATGGAAAGATTTATCAATCTCTGGGGATATAAAATACTCTATAAATTAATAGTTTGCCTATAGATTCTCTTATTAATTTATTGTAAAAATATAGTCATGCATATGTCTTTAATTACTATAATCAACCATTGATAGAAAAGTAGGTAGATAGATGATAGGTAAGTTATTGGATAAATGAATGAATAAAATAAATCATAAACTTACTGTGCTTATAGTTTTTTTTTAATGGCTTGTGCATTTGATCTCTTTTATGGGAATAAGAATGTGCTGAGGGAAGCAATTTGTATTCTTATTCCCCCTTCATTCTTAGGACCAGTGGAACTCTAAGAGTCATAGACAGTCACCACTTGACCAAACAGAAAGTGATTTCTGACTTGTTGGTGGAACCAGAATCTTTATTTGGTATTTTCCTCCTATAAGGCAAAAGTTGCCAGAGAGCCTGGCCCTGACATGAGTCAGAGCGCAGTGACTCCAGCACCCAACAAAGTCTACCCTGTGCACTATGTGCTCCAGAAGAGGAGCTGAGGAGCAGAACGCACACTGGATTGGAGCTCAAAGCTAGGTACATTCACTGTACCATATGCTGGTTTCTTTAAGTAACCCATTACACAGAAATTAAATATCTTGTGACAGATTGTTTTGACAGTGGGGAAAAAAAAAAAGAAAGCAGGACAGAGTGGGAGAGATTTAATTTTTTAAAAAATGCATTTGACTGAAGGCAAAACGTTAGGTAGATGTTAATTTAACAGATGTCTAGTTTTGCATCATCAGCCTGAAACGGGCAATTTCTGGCAAGCCTTCCCACCACATCGCAACACAAAATCCTCTCAAATCCTCATGGATCTGTCTTTCACAACCTTCCAAGTGAGCCGTTTTCATTCAAAGGAAAATGCCTGAAATTACCCAGGGAAGATGCTAACACCTGGCAATAGTTTGGAAGGCGGAGTCCATGAATGCACGGAGGTATAATGGAAGGAAAGGGAGCACACAGCAACTTTTCAGCTTAGAGAGAACACAGGAGAAAACAGCTAACACATCACAAAGTTACTATGCGATGAAACACTCCCCCATGCTAACTGGTGGAGACTTCTGGGCTGTAAATAGATCACACAAGTCCATCAAATTTGAACTTCAATCTATCCAAGAAAGGTAACTCAGGACCCATTGTTCCTGGGCACCTTCTCTTTGTAAAGCCCCACTCAGCCACAGCAGGTTTATGCATGAACCTAATACTTAACAGTTATGTAAATACATGATTTACATATAACTGCAGAAAAGCCAACTTTGGGTAACCGTTCACTCCTGACATAATGTTAAGTTTAGTTAATTAAACATAATTAATTTGGATTTTGTAGTCATATTTTCAGTTTTTGGATCTAGTGCATTTTATTTTTAGAACAAAGACACTTACACGGCTTTGTGTCGTTCAGGTGTACTAGTATCTAAAAAAGGGAAATTCCTACACATAAAACAAAGGCTTACAGATTTGAGGTTAGTGGAATTCTCAGCCTTTTCATGCCAGAGAGATGTTGTTATTTATTAACTGGTGGATTCACTGGGAGGGTCCACCTGTCACTGTGCTCTGATTGGCTGAGCTGAAATGCCATCACAGCATGGTCCCCAGTTCAGTTCTTATTGCAATAAACTTTTCCAGAAAATC